AGGAGTAGTCGTTGGGAAATATAAAAATCTCGCGTCACAGGACGCCGCGGACGGGATCCGGGCGAAACAGTGTAAGTGGACTTCGGTGTGTTTGTCGGGGATTCGAAATTGAATTGATTTTTCGGGTCGCGAATGATTGTCGAGACTACTTGTGTTACGCTCGGTTTGATGAAGTAGGTATATCTCGTGCGGCTTGTAGTATTCTTCTGTCGTTAAGGGTAATTTGTTATTTGCGATTGGTTGAATGGGAAAGTAATATAGATTGTGGAGAGGAGTAATAAGATGCGGAGGTGATGGATTGATGTACATCAGTGTTAGAGGATGGATAGTACGAATGTTAACCTAGACTCGTCTATTGATGCTCGGTTTGATGAAGTGAACATATCTCCTATGGTTTTAGGATTATTTTTTTATGCGTAATTTGTAATTTGCAATTGGTCAAGTTTGAAGGTAATGATGTTGTACAGAGGAGTACTAACACATGAAGGTAATAGAATTATATAGATCAGTGTTAGATGAAAGATGCAAATGTATTTAAATGTCCATCGAGCAGTTCCGATCGACAACGGAATATTCCGATCGATTCGCTTCCAGGTTGTCCTTTATTCAAAGATCTACGACCATTCCCGCTGCCGTCTTTACCACGGAAAAATTTCCTTGGAACTACTCTTTATTTGATCTCTATTAATAACGGCAATCAAATGTCAACGTGGCAAACGTCCGTAGGAAGTTATGGGTCAATCCAATATCTCCCCGCACGGTGCGCCGCTATATATATCCGTGTTCCAGGAAGATCTAAAATGTCGCCGGCGCGAATTTCCGGGACAGTGGAAATCCTTAAGCGGAAACTGCGTCCCGATAATTCGTTCCTCGGCACGAGAGAATCCACAGATACCTTTGAGCGTCTCTTGAACGCGGGAACAAAGAACAGAAACTCTGGAAATTTATTTCCCAGGTTCCTTTGCTCCGCCGCCGGACAATGTCCTGCGGTTTCGGCGTTCGTTCCTCCGTCCTTCCGGCGACAGAGCCGCGCCGCCACTCTCCGCGGGCCCATTCTTCTTTTTAATTTGTCTTCGTTACGCGCGTCAATCATTTCCCGTCCGCTCCGCGCGTCGCAGTCCAGCCGCACGACACTGACACCGTCCCGCGGAGCTTTTCACCCTCGTTTTTTCACGGTTTCGCGCCGTTTCGGCGATCGATGAATTGCACACGCAACGAGCGGCGACGCGCGCCCCAATCTCGTCACGAATTCCGCGCGAGGACGCGATCGGGGGCTGGCGAATCGTGCGATAGCCTACCAAATATCGCGCCCATGGAACGCTTTTTCTTTTTCGTTGATTAGTTCTTCTGTTTGCGCTGGAACTTTGCTCGTTACACAAAACGCCGGCAAATATATGTACAGTTGACCCTCGAATAACGCAATTAACCCTTTACATCGTGATTCGCCTCGCAACTGCGTTCGCCGGGACCGTTTCATTGTTTCTAGTCGAAAAAACAATAGAATCCTACCTTCATCCACATTCCTTTCAATCTTAATGATATTAATATACAATTACCACCATATTAATCCTTTGCGGAAGGATGTCAGCATTTCGGTGAGGTGAAATGTTCAGATTTGGAAGACTAAATCGTGGAAAAATGATCTAATTAGTCGAACAGTAAAAGATCAGCACGTAGTTTCCTTTTTTTCTATTAATTAACCCTTAGCAGCCCTATGTCGAGTCAGACTCAACATTCTTTATTGCAACCTCTACCTGTTTTAACAATATTTTCTATATTTATTTGTAGTATCACAATTGTACTATTTAAAGGTAACATTTCAATGACTCCCAAATATTCTTGAATAAATAAATAGAGCGTCATATTAAGCTGTAATTAAATGAACTAACGTCGACGTGAATCTCAAAGTGAGGAACCAAGAACACTTCGGACCACAAAGGGTTAAGCAATTGATATATAATTTAGCTTCATATGTCGAAGGTTTTGAATGTTTCGAAGAATCTTCGTCCACAGTGTATTAAATATATTTATAAACTCTCTAGTTTTCCATTCCACCTCATTCTTCCTCAACTGCCGCATCCAGCGCAACGAACGCTAAACGAGCTTCCAGAATTTCCCGAATCCGTCAACGAGAACGCGACAAACGAGGGTTCCGATAAATCGGCCGGCAGAATTGCGCTATAATCGGCAACGAACTGTCCCGGACTCTGCATCGCGGAAATACACGTCGCAGATCGCCGCTCTCGCGGCAAGGTCGAAGGGTAAATCGCGATCGCGCGACGAAAATCAAAATTATAGGTTTCCCGCGTCCGGGACGCGGCCGAGAGAGCACCGGGGTTGTTCGTTTAACGTTGATGTATGCACGATTGTCGAGCGCGGCCGCAAATGGAGCGACGGACAAATATTTACAGTTAATATTATCCCGTTATAAAAGCGGTGACCGCCGAGTCCCCGTCCCGATCGGCGTGACGGGCCCGCCGCCGCCGCCGCCGCCGCGCGTTCTAACGCGCGATATTGATAAACGAGAGAGCCGTCGCGCGTCTGCCCGGCATAATACCGATAATTTATGAACGAGGAGAACCGGCCGACCGAGTTTCTCTTCTACTCCCGCAATTAACTCCGCGCCCCGACAACCCCTGCCGGCGCGGCCGGTCTTTGTCGCGGCGAGCGCGCCCCGCGCTTTCCGATATATCCGGTCTAGACGCAACCTTTTACTTATTCACGGTAATCTATCCCCGTCCCCGCGAGTCGCCTTAACCTTCCCCCGGTTTATCGCGCGGAATTTTCGTATTCCGCTGCCACTGCGCAGCATTTCGCAAGACTACCGTCTGCTCGCCGGCGTCTGGGAATTTTCCGGTATTTTTGGGAGTCGGCGAGAGTGGTTCCTTCTGACAGTGATAACTACTACTGAGGTTTGTATATCGATCCTCTGGGGTTTGCAGTAGCTCGGAGGTAGCATCTGATTTGATTTGGAACAGGAAGATTATAACGTTGTTCGAGCTTTGTACGGATGTATTCGAATAAAATAGGTATGAGCTTTGATGCATGCGTCGGTTAGGTTAGCTTCCAGATACTGTCATCGGGAATGTTGAGTATTTCTAGTGAAAGGCTGATCGTTTTAGATAAACGGTGTGTACCTAGAATAGAATATTCAACAGGATGTTTGGTAAACATAGCGTTGTTCATTGAAATAAGCAGCCGTAGATCGCAATCATTCAAAGCACAATGCTTCTGAATTACTAGCGCGGCCTAGCGGAAGATGCCAATCTCCACTTTTTAATTGGAGCGCGGAAGACAAGCCGCGAAAGCGATCCGCGTCGAAGTATCCCGCGTTACGCGGACCGGTTTTATTTGCTCGATTCGTTAACCCGACACCGTAGATTGCCGCTCCTCCCCCAGAACGCCGCGCGTCGCGGTTCCAGAGAGGGAAGAGGGGTCGGCGCATGAATAGGAAGAGGGCGAGCGTGTGCCGGACTCGAAACGAAAACGCACTCGGGGCCACATGGGCGTTTGGTCGGCCGGTTATATCGCTTCCCCGGGTCGCGAGTCGTTTCTCCCTTCTCCCAGCAGCCCACCCCACCTGATGAAGATAAAACGGGATAATTATAGAGCCTATCGGGGATCGTGGCGCGGCTAAATTTCGTCGAGACACGCGAGATCGTCGAAAGAGGGTTGGCAATAAAGGGAAACCGGGCTTAAGTAAAAAGGAACTGGCGCGGGGCAGCCGTCGGGGGAGGGAGGGGGGAAAAAGTGTGCGAAGGAGAGGGAAAAAGGGAAAAAAGAAATCGAAGAGGGAATAAACTCGCCGCTACGGGGGAAGTAAAAGCGGCCGGGCGAAGAAGGGAAACGCCGAGAACGGGATGTCATTAATTTTTCATACGGACTTGGCACATCTGCGTTCGGCCGACCGCGCTCTGCAACCCCGCTAATTATTTCTGGCTCATCATTTTTCCTGCCTGCTCGCAACCCAACGCTACTCTCCGACCTTACTCCGCGTTCTCTATTTCCCTTCTCTCTATGTTCTTCTCTACGACACGCTCTTCTCCTCCGTCTCTTCTCTCGTCGCGCGACACCAGTATTTCCTCTTGCCCGACCCTCTCGCTCCACCCGTCCCTCGAAGCCGCGTGTCTTTTCTACTTTTCGTCGATACACGGGGGCATTCTTCTTTGACAAATGCACAGTCGACAGGCAGAGCCGCCTAAGAATCGACTGGAAATCGAGAGGCACGATCATTATTTCCCGGCGCACCGTCGTAATTGACCGTCCCGCCGTCTGTCGTACCTTGACGTTTCCTTCGAGCTCGTTCAGCACGAACCGCCCGGCTGGTAATACGCTCGCGGTTCTCTAATTATTTCTGCTCGTTCCTTTTTCCCCGCTGTTTACCATCGCGCCCCGTTCACGCACGATACTCCGCGCGGCAAACAACTTCCTTCGGAGTGCCGGCCTCGGCTGTTTCATTCGGC